CTCGGCAGAGCACCGGCCACTTACTACGCATGACGGAAGGCATGGTAGCCGGAACAGGAAGCTGAGCTCACGTCCTCAACTGCGAGCAGGAAGCAGAGAGAGCCAACGGGAAATGTCGCCAGTTTTTAAACTCTCAAAGCCTGCCACTAGTGACACATTTTATCCAACAGGGCCACACCTCTTAGACCTCACCAAACAGCACCAAGAGCTAGGGACCAAGTGTGTAAATACATGAGCCTATAGGGGACATTTTCATTCAAACGCTCGCAGTGGTCATCTTTTGGTTCTTTATGTCAGCATCTCCGCTGCCTTTGAACTTCTGCGCATCCCTCCCGCTGGCTGGAGCACTCCCTTTCTTCTTCTCCCAACCCTTTGCCTTGATCATGTCTGGCTCCTCCCCTTTCTACTTTGAGAGCAGACGCACCATCTGCTCCCACTATGACCTTTGTAACGGTTCTCATGACATCACTTTCGGGGTGGAGGTGTTGCTGCTGTTGTTATTGCTGTTGTTGCTGCTGCTGCTGTTCTGTCTGGTCTCAGCACTGGGTTATAAACCCTGTGAGGGCAGGGATCGTCTGTCTTGTTCTCCATTATGTTCTCAGCACCTCATACATAGAGAGCAGAGAAGAGGAAGGAACAAAGACACGAGCTATATACAAACCGCTTCAGTGTTCCAGAGGTTCCAGCAGAGCTGCCCAAAGAGCTTACTCACACCACACGATTTTAGCTGGGCACTGTGTACACACTTGCCATCTTGGCATTCAGGAAGCCAATGCAGAAGAATCTTGAGTTCAAGGCCAGCCTGTCTCTAAGTAAACAAATAAACTACAGAATCCCAAACTCCCTTTCCTGACTTCAGTCCCCTGAGTCAGATTCCATTGTGTCAAGATTGGAAAGGGACAGAGGTCCATGGGTTTACAATGTGCCCCACACAGCCCTCCAGATTCTGGCACAGTGTAACCATAATCACTGTGGGAAGCAGAGAAATCACAAAAAGGGAAAGCTCCCCGGTAGCTTCAATCCATCAGCTGCTGTGAGGGCCAGTTCTCTAGGTGCATTTCTCCTACGCCTTATAACACTCCCATCTCTGCTACTGAGACTTCTTATCATCTATAGCTAGATCTGCCAGCCAAGATCATGCAGGCCCTGGGCCTCGCTTGTAGGTGACTCCCTTTCTCATTAAAATGTTCCTAAACTTCAATCTTCTTTTCCTGTATCACAGAGACTTTCAATAATTAAACATAATGAAATATTCTGTTTGAAGAGGAACTGTAAGATGAATAAGATAGAAAAAGGTAAAGTTACTTTTAACAAGTAATTTAAAATTAAATGTTCCTTTTTTTCCATCAGTGCAAAATGTCATTCACACCATGAACTTGAAAGCTGAGAAGTTTTCCAGATGAAATGTTTGGAAAAAGCCTTTTCACACCCAACCTACAAAGCCTCTATCATCAACTGCTCATTGGGTTTCAATCCTCTTTACTCTTTCTGTTGCTGTCTCCCCAAAAGCAAGCTGGTGAGGAAAGGGCTTTATTTCAGCTTACGCTTCCTTCAGGGTTGGACTGTGATAGTATGCTGTGCCCTCCAACAGCAAATAGCAATAAAGAAAATGCTCCCGGGCCAACCTAATGGAAGCCATGCCCCAACCCAAGCTCCTTGTTCCCATGTGTGCCAAGTTGACAACCAGGGTTAGCCATCACGGTCTTATTAAACAAGAGTGAAGGATGACACCGTCGAGCTGGAAGTGAGGAGGACAAGTTCAAGTGTTCGAAGCACTTTGTATTCCTTTCTTTAAACTTGACGTTCCTCCAGGGTCTCTTGCTTTGGGGTAAACGTTCTGGGCAGTTCTAAGTGTCATTGTCCCCAAGAGTTCAGCCTGAGCACTAATCGGTGACTAGAGTTATGTCCTCTCCAGACTTAGTTAGGATCGGCATGAATAGATACAATCAAGGGAATCGAGAAAGTTAGGGTGTGAACAGAAATTATTTCTGGAGAAGCAGCAGACTGCAAAACGATTCAACAATCATTTGTAGGGCTTCAGGATTAAAACAAACCAAATTATAATCAGGAATAGGCTTGTCACAGGGGGAATCGAAGGGAAATGTATCTTCTAAATCACACATTGGCCACCGCTGAGCTCATTTCTACTGAACAAAGTTCTTTTTTTGTATGAAATCAATCACCTGTTGATACCCAGAGAGACATGAAAGGAAAAGATAAAGAGCATTCAAAGAGATCAAAGCTAAAAAAAAAACAAAAAAACAAAAATCGCAACTTAAGATTGCATGATCAAATTCCATCATCTCTCCCGGCTTCTGTTTTGTACTTTGAAAAGTGGTAACTGTATCTACTTGCAAGATTAATTAGATTAGGCATGCCAATCAAAACAATAAGGACACCACAGCACGGCAGATGGCCATTGTCCATGAGACTGCTTCCTACCTGCGCTCTCCATCTCTCTGTGAGTCTGAGAAGAAGCTTTGCTTTTAATTCCGCTATTTTGCATGTGCCTCTTGAGTCTGGATTAGGAAGCTCTTAGCAACTGCTCCTCTCCTAATGCTGCTGCACAATCAGTGGTGGTGCACACCTGTGATTTCAGCATTTGGAAGGTGGAGGCAGGAGCATCCAGAATTCAAGGGCTGCTTCAAGCTACTTAGGGAGTTAAGGGCCAGCCTGGGCTACAGGACACACACAGCGAGGGACGGGGAGAGTCTGTGTGTGTTACTTAGTCTTGTTTAAACTTTGGAGATGTATCCTCAGGGAAGCACAGAGCCATGTTTAAAAGTTATGAAATGTAGCACTTAGCTTTTTCTTTTTTCTTTCTTGGTTTGAAATTGCCCCTACCAATTTTCCCTTGTTCCTCTAAAAACTGTCTAAGTGACTTTTTTTCCCCTGGACAGATAGGTTTCCCCATAGGTAAACTGCCTGTGAAAGTGAGTTAGTCTCACACTCTTCAAGAGTCTGACTCAGTAACCCCCCCACCCCCTTTCTTAGAATGAACAACCTCCAAAGGGTCCATTTTTAAAAATCGGTGCATACTTTCCGATAAAGGAGTTGCCAGGACTGGGATGTAGGTCAGTTAGTAGAGTGTTTGACTTGCCTAGCATGCATCAAGCCCTAGGTTTAATTCCCCAGGACCAAGGCAAACTGTGGTGGCCCGTGCCTGTAATCCCAGGACAGGCAGAGACAGGAAGGTCAGAAGTTCAAGATCATCCCCACCTACATAACAGGCTTGAGATAAGACTGCCTTACATGACACCGTGTCTCAAAAAGGAAAGAGTTGCCCAAACAAAGGTTCTGGTTTTTCACTTTGTTTTTAATGTGGCTAAGGTCTGAAAGAACTGTTTACTGGCCCGTGATGTTGAATTTCTCTTCAGAAGCCACACCTATAAAGACACCCACTCAGTCAGGCCATTGCTGAGTAGACCATCATGATTGTAAAAATTAAATTTTTTTTTTGTACACACAGTCAAAATTGTCTTGGGCTGTCTTTAAGAAAAATAACCACTTGTTTTTCTGATTGAATACTCTTTATTAAATGCTTCCTGTACTATGTAGAAGCTACTAAGTGTGGGGTCCATGGATAAATGACATCACTGTTACTTGGTGTAAACTCTTATGTTTAACCCTTGTCTCCAGCTTAACATTCTAGTGATGATTAGGTAAGCCCTTGGACTATATCGTTAAGCTTGGTAGGCCTCTCACCTTGACCAACCCTAAAACTAAGGCTGTGTGATAGCAGCTAAAATCTATCACTCTGCTGTTGCCTGCCTACTTAAAGCCCCCACAAATGTACTTGCTGGATGTATTGATTTGTGGTAGGTATTCTTTGTTCTGTGGCTGTAAAAGTTTATAGATGCATCAAACCCCTTTCATTTCAGAGAACGTCATCCCAGGTAACTTGAATACTTGTTCCCAGAACATAGACACTTGGATTTGTCTCAGAATAAACCATTTGTTTCCTTTAAAGTGGGGTCCTTGTTGTATATGGATAGGACTTATTGGTTCACACACACACACACACACACACACACACACACACACACACATGGCATTTGTCTTTCTGGGTCCGACTTATTTCACTTAACGTAATGATTTCCAGTTCCATCCATTTTCCTGCAAACATCATTTCATCTACCTTTATGGCTACATAAGATCCCATTGTGTCTGCACCACATATTCTTCCTTCATTCTTTGGTCAGTGGACATCTAAATTGATTCCATATCCTGGCTGTTGTGAATAGTGCAACAATAAATATGGAAGTGCATGTGTTCCTGATAAGGCTCACTTCTGAAACTAAGGAGTCGGGCTAAAGGTTTGAATGAAGAAAACTGTATAGTCTTAAGTCCAATGGTCTCTAGGCCCTCCCATCTTTCTGTCTCTCTGTCTCTCTGTCTCTCTCTGTCTCTGTCTCTCTCTCTCTCTCTCTCTCTCACACACACACACACACACACACACACACACATACATATACACACACACACCCCACTACCAACACCACCATCACCACCACCACCAACTACCACACCACTGTAGTTAGAGAACAGAGCATACTGAGGCTGGTGTAGCATACTCCTAATTAATGATCAAAACTCATTGGAGCTGAGGTGCTGCTCTCCCAATAGACAGCTATTTTTAAAATATTTCTCTTTGAAAACAACAGCATGATTAATCCCATTATTCCTACTTAAATCACTTATGTAGAAACAGCCATGCACTGTGAGCAATTATTAAAAAGGCTTTATTATGTATAATTTGTACATGCGTCAATTTGCGTTGCTTAGGGTAATTTATTTTCCAGGTTGTGATGTCATCTACCAAAATTAACTAGATCTAATTTTCATTCTGACACGCCACATACAAAAATACAGTTTTAAAGCAAAGTTCCTCTTCTTCCCAGAAAGGTTCGCAAGAATGTGTCAGATGAATAAAACGAGAAAAGAATACTTTGCGCACACACACCAACACCATGCAAGGCATTATCCTTCACACAGGAACGTCAAATGTGTTCTTTTATTTTGAAACAGCGGGGGAAACGAGCCCACTCACCCTCGGAGGGGAATGCAAACTTTATTGTTGCTAAAGCCAGGCTCCAGGCATAAAGGAGTGCTCCTTTGGGGAGAAGAGGGAATATGGGAACTTAGGGTGGAGGCTGTTGCCCCTTCATAAGCACTTCAAGAGGAAGGAATTGCAGGAAGTTCCTCGGGGACAGTCACACAGCTTCCCGATCCGGGCGCCCTTCCGCACTGCGCACTGCTCTCCGGCATCACACTGTCAACAACACAACCCGAGGTTAGGGGCCCCAAAGGAGCGGTCTCTGGAGCAGAATAGGACTAGACAACTACCACCACCTCCGGTCTAAGTACAGTCAGATCCGAAGCCCAGGGAGCCCGAAGCCCAGGGCTTACAATTTCAGACAGGGGATATTCAAAGGAAGAAATTTAAGGGACCGCATTTTCAGCTTCCTTTTCTTTTTATTTAAAGAGAACAGAATCACCCAGACCCTTGCATCTAAGATATATACAATATACTTTCCCATAACCTTTGTTTTCTACTTTCCCAATTCCTCACCCAAAGAAGGAAAACGTTAAGGCCTGTGTGTGTGTGTGTGTGTGTGTGTGTGTGTGTGTGTGTGTGTGTG